GGAGACTAGTATGATTGCTACTCTTCTATTCAATTGTTTGGGATAAAACAACTGAGGTCACACATTACCCTGGTAATAGGTATGAGCCGCAGAACGAGTCTGTCGCTGCCTAAACACGTCTTTTGTATCATCATCATCTCAGCCATAGGACGTCCACTCCCCCAATGCTTTCCATGTTGTCCGGTAGGTAGCGGTCTTTTATATGGGGGTCTCGAAAGACGACAGCTAGCTAACAAACAGCGCAATATTTCATTAATATCCCTATTAAATCCTCCGCTTCCCTTTGATACCTTTTGGATACGGTGCGACGTCCACCCACAAGGTGGACCCACGACCTGATAAAAGCAGGAAGGAGCTGGATGCAGGCCGCTACCAACCGTGCGATGTGGAAGTCATTGGGGGAGGCCTATGTTCAGCAGTAGACGTCCTGTGGCTGAAATGATGGACACGGTGCCCTAAAAAGACCAGTAACATACCAACGCAGTAAGGCTGCTGCTTCTTCAAGTAGTTCGCCTCGTGGAACTGGAAACCTTTGTGGCAGGAGCACCAGAGCCGCTCGCCGCGCACCTCGCACGCCTGCTCGCATAGACGGAGGCTGCATGGATCCATCGAATTGGGGATGCATCTGAAATATGGTAACACCACCATAATCAGCTCTGCTCGTAGGGAGGCTGCAAGGATCCATCATCCATCGACTTGGGGACAGGTACATCTGGGATATACGGCAACACCGTCATCATCATCTTAATCAGCCTCACACAGTTGAAAGCTTCAATCAACAGACTTGGCGATCAGAGGAAATTGGAAATTTGGCCTACACTCCCGAGTTCCCACGCTGGCGGGTTCGGGAGAGGTAATACCAGGTAAGTGTCACTCTGGAAATTTGGTATTTTCCGCTTTTAGGAGGTGTATGACTAGGAAAGTATAAGTTGTCGCTCGACTCGCAAGATTGGCGACCCTACTTTCCATGTATGTATATATTCTGTGACCCCGCCGTATCTTAAGAAACCGATCTAGGTACACGATAGAAAGATACGGCACGTTGTAACTTGTAGGTGAATCACATCGTTACGCCTTTTGTTCATTATTTTAGTCTATTATTTAGCAAAGATATCAAAATTGCTGATGCAGATGTGAACATTGGATTTTGATTCAAATTCAAAGACAAATAAGCTGATTTATTCAAGGGAATCGCTAAATACGCAGCATACAGCCATCTTCGGCTGAATTAAAGGCGTCTATTAGTATTATCACCTTATTCAAAGGAGCGTTTTAATTCACGTGTAGTAAGTAGAGTTCCACTACGTTTAGATAGGGGACACATAAATGATGACTGACTGGAACTGTTCACACTTACCTCCCAGAAACATATCTGTGTGTGTCACAGCACCGCAGTCTGATGCAGGGGACTTCGGCCCCGTTCAGTTGACAGGTGTCCCTCGTGCGCAGGACCTGGTCAGTAGGGCACACGCTCCGGTAGTCCAGCCTGCAATGTAATAAGCATGTTAACGATAGGGCTCTAAGGCTTATATGTAGTTGCATCTCCAAATGTTCACTTTTGTCCGCAACTTTTCCCGCTGTCATTCACAGGGCTATGCTCGGTGTTTCTTTGCGAGATGTAATCAGAAATGAGGAGATCCGTAAACGAACTAAAGTAACTGACATAGCCCGACGGATTAGCAAGCTGAAGTGGCAATAGGCAGGTCGCAGGGCACATAGTACGCAGAACTGACGGCCGATGGTGCAGCAAGGTTCTGGAGTGGAGGCCACGTACCGGAAAACGCAGCGTGAGACGTCCACCCACAAAGTGGTCGACCTGATAAAGTTAGCAGGAAGGCGCTGAATGCAGGCCTATTTCACCACTTCATATTTTTACTGTCCAATTACTTTAATGTATCAATATTGATTGTTAGCGTAACTACCTGTGAGTACGTACTTACTACCTTTATTGACATAGGAATATAGGAAGTTTCCACGAGTCGTTTGAACATGTCTCCTCATTTTCTATATTTACGATACCTAGTAAATTAAAATAAATTATAGTCGTCTCTTTCAATTAGCTAGGCGTAATTAAGTTTACGCAATCTTATACTCCGCAAACTTCAGGGAACTTTTATGTTATCAGACGCCACATCGTACTATATTTTGATAAGTGACATCTGACCTACTTAATTATAACATGTAGTACCATATTATCATGGTTTCAAAATAAAGAATTGACTTCAATGAGGTTCAAGATCACCAATTAGCTGAGGTTCTGCACGTCTATACTTGGCCATTTAAGTAGTTAGTAGAACTAGCGGCCGCCCGCGACTTTGTACGTGTGGTCCCTGTTTTACTCTCTTATGGGTTGAATTTTGCAAATCTCGGCGAAAAACCACCCTTGGACTTCAACGAACATTTTAAAAAAAGAATGGTAAATTGGTCCAGGCGTTGTTGAGTTTTGCGCTTACCAAAACATTTTGCGACAAATGTGTTGGCATTTTGCGACTCATTTTTATATTATAGAAGATTAGGAATCAAATCTCCGAGAATAAGCATTGTCGTACCTACAAGGGTATTTTTTCAGGGGGGGCCTGGCCGATATGTCACGATACCCCATTGGTATCTTATCTCATGAGTGAGTACCTACTATCAACTGTCATTTTTGAATCGTTTAAAATCTTTGGGGGCACCAGACCATTCTGGGGTAACTTAACCCCGGCGATGACTTAGAAATTCGCTCTATCCTACTCCATCATCGCTTACTCATACAGAGCTTCGCTTGACTGATATATTTTCTAAGATAGTTTTTCCAACTTGTGCTTTCAGCAGAAAGAACAACGATTACATTATGAACACTGGAGCATATCTTGAAAGAGATCGACTGTCCGCGTGCGATATTTCACACAAGGACCCGCGATTGTACGGTATGAATGCATTTTGTTCTCGGTAATCGAGCTGTCATTGACCTTTGCACTTTATTTTTGTGTCGTTCGATAAAGTTGATAGGAAGTTCTTGTTTGGTTGTAGAAATTGTAATTTAATTGCGCAATTATTATCATGATTGAGCGTGACCCTGTGCCTCAAAGGCTAAAAAGCCGAAGCAATTTCGTAAAAAGTGTGTCCCCTCTCCTTCATGACGATCGGTCAAAAAAGATATGCAGGTTATGGCGCGAGAGAGCTGATCTCCCCTGCCCTTTAGTCCCTATGTTCTGAGAGTCCTCCACCTGGACTTGAGCTCCCCTGGCTTACCTGGAAGTCTTTAAATGCACTTCGGACGCATTGGCCCTAGTAATGACAATCTGGTCAGGTGGGGATTCTTGGATGGCTTAAACACGGAGTGCAGGTGCGGTTTTGTTCCCCAGTTGATGAAGCACCTGATGTCGTGCCCTGAGTGCCCAAGCAACTGCACTCAGCCTCAGGAAGATTTGATGAGTGCTGCTGACTACGCCACTCTTGTGGCGGAGTTTTGGGCTGACACTATGTAGGTTTGTTGTCGACACGAAAAGAAGTACATCATAATTCAGGGACGAGGGTGTAGCAAAGCAATCATTATTTATCGAATCAAAGACCACACTTCCACTTGCTTAATAAGCTGTTTTGTAGGCATAGATCGTACGAGGAACCCTCATTGATATTTTAAGAATAAAAAATGTTAGTTTACTTATTCTTTAAATATCGAAAAGCTTTATCTAGAGCCAGCAAGAACAACACTACGAAGGAAACATTTATTATTATTGATATTGTTTATTTTACCGTACCCTTGTAAATATAGTAAACGTCTTGGATTAATAAATAATTAAGATGCACATTAATTTTGTAATAATTTAGTGTAATTTTACTGCTTGGCATATGCACGGGACAGGATAAAGCTTTCTGGACCAAAATATCCGCGTTGCTAAGCTTTTGATGTATTTGATTAGCTACAGGCAAGATTGGTCATCTTACTATAGAGATGATCAAATTAAAATCAACGTTGAATTAAAATTGCTATCGATTTGTCTTTCAAAAACATTTAGGTCATCTATAGAACTTGAATTTACAAAAACGCATAACGAATTCCTGTTCAACGTTCAACTGCTTTAAAAAAGTTGTGGGATCTTAGTAAGAAACCGATTGATAGTGATTCATCGTCCTTGGCCACATTTCTACGAAGTCAGAGTTGAGTGATAGCCGATAAACTAACATTCGATCGCCACTATAACAACTATACTGACCTATATGAGTAACATATCGTTTACTATGGAAATAGCATATCGTTTGCTATGGAAACAGCAGCGATAGATGTTTTTTATTTTCAAATCATCGATGTAATATAGTTTATCTTTATTTCATTAACGAAGATCCCGTTTGAAATGTAATAACATTTGCATTATTTATGACTCACAAACAAATGCCTGTGTTTCTAACAATTCACACAGTATTTGTCCCGGGACTCAAAGGAGCGATGTAGGACGTAAATGGTACTGTATAACTTCTAATCTGGCTTGAAGTTTTTCCAAATTCTTCCTATTTATGGTATTGACTATTTACAATATAATATACTATTGATTAAATAATAGAGGTGAAACTGTAGGCTTTGACCAACTACATTGTATATATGCAATTTAATCAATTTATGTATTTGTAATTTATGTTTTCCGAATAAAATAAGTAACTAAAATAAAATAATAAAATTTTTATTCCACCATTATTGCAAATAATTACGATACCCACAGTAATTATCCCATGGAATATGCACACTTTTATTATATTCAACGTAAAAAAATATCACGAACACATTTTTTTTCTGATTAAAAAAGCACTGCACACCCACTCACACGTCAATCGCCTCTTCGTACTCCTCGGGGTGGTACCCTGGGGCGGCTAGTGTGCCTAGGGCGGCTAGTGCGCCTAGGGCGGCGTGCGCTAGGGCGGCGCCCACCAACAGGCAGGCCACGGGGCCGGGCGGCGCACGCATCGCGACTGAGCGCTGCGCCCGCGCAACTGTGCTTTGACAGCGCATTGTAATACAGGATGTGTTCTTTTACTACCAACACAACAAGTTCATGCCTGCATACTTAGTTAAATTTGAGATTTTTATTATTTTAAAAGACGATGGCTGTTGCACGTTAAAAAATCGAAAATGTGTTGATAATGATGATTAATGATTACTTTTGATGGTCAAATCACTTGTTAATCTGTACGTTCCAGTATTTCAAATCAAAATGCCGTTCTTAGCATGAGATTAATTTGAAATAGGTAGAGGTAGGTACCCCTCGTGGGTAACTACTAACTTAAATCTCACATGGTGGAACAATTATGAAATTCACGGTTCAGCAGACTTATCTATCGCGATTTAAAAATACCATTAAGTGAGAAAATATAGGTGCTAGAAGAGATTTCGATTCCTATGAATTTCGAATAGGCAAAGAAGTCAAAGTAAATATTTGCATTAAAGATTACTTCAAGAAATCACAAAATAAACCATAACGAAAACTGCTGCCAAAAACTTGGTATCCTCTCGAGGGCACGGCAGTACTTCTCCAAGAAACAACCACCATACCATCCTACACTGCATCTCACTTAACACCAGGTGCGATTGCGGTTAAATACCTGCCTTGTCTTACACAAAAAAACCGTGCGATTGCAAATGCCTGCCATGTCTTACATAAAAAAACCAGTGTTTAAACGAAACATAATTATTCGGACACCCTGTATACCGTTGAACGAATCCGCTGCCCAGCTGCATCCTAATCAGCGCGTAATGCAGCTAGTATTAATTAAGTAGCCAGTGCAAGTGCACAAACGCATCTGATTCAACAGGCGTACTGGTGGTGCATCGTTAATATTTATTAGTAAGGAATGCCTTTGTTTGTTAGTGAGGTTTATTGTGTAGATAAATAGATAACGGCCATTTAAAAGCTCTGGGTCATAGCCTCATAGGAGACTTTATTTTATTAGTAACATTGGCTATTCTTGTGGAAAAATACTAGGGAAATGGAAATAATTACGTCTTATTGTGTTTGATCCAACAACGTTTTTTGTTTGTGACTGTCGACTAATTTGCAGGAACACCTTATACCTACATTTACATACATCTCCAATACTTACGAAAAGAAGGTCTAAGCAAAAGAATTTGTACCGCAATCGCAATCCTTATCATCAAGGGATATTTATGCTTTTGTTTATAACGGAAGTAGAAGGCTGTGATAACAAAGATAACAGCTTACATTAGAAAGAGATAACGGCATTCTGATTGTCTAAAAAGGTATAACGTCATGTGCATTTTTAAATATGATTGAAAAAGAGACTGACCAAGGTGACTGAGTTTCTTCCGCCTCTTCTTTTCAGCTTCAGTCCTTATGTTGTCCCTAAGTGGTGGTAGGGCAAGCTATTTGGGACGTGTATAAGCCTTGGAAAGTACCTAAGTAGGTACTGAATAAAATATCATTGTATTTGTATTTAATATCCCTTTTTGTGGTTTGGTTTAGTACGAGTACCTTTTCATACATTACTCACACACACGATATTCCCAGTAGACTTGTGGATTCATATGAATGTTACTCATACTTATCTAGTACAGAAAATAGATATCGATAGAGTGTAAATTACCAATGCTAAAATAAAAATAGCCTTCATCCAGTATTGCGTAGGGTAGTCGATATTTTGGACTTCAGGGACGAGTCGTTTAATGCACGGGGTGTCCATCTGTTCATACTGTACAGAGACTTTTGTATTTTGGGTTACATTTTTTTTTACCACAAACAAACTCTTGGCCATCTTCTCACCTGATGAATAATGATAATCAGACTGAAGGTGGAAATGAGCTTCACCTCGAATCTCTAAGATTTGGTACCAGTACATAATTTTAACTAATATACGGACGGATACGACCTGCAAGCTTTCAAGAGGAGAGCGTATCTTCACCTTAAAGGCCGGCAACGCACATGTAATGTAACGCCCCTGGGTATGCGGGTGTCTATGGGCGATTGTAATCACTTACCATCCGGTGATCCGTCTGCTCGTTTGCCTCCTGTCACATAAAATAAACATATCTTTGCATTCGTCTTGAATGTCTTGATGGGTTTCAAGAATACCACCCGTAGAGTAGAGCAAAGAGTAGTAGAGGTTTAGAAAATGTCAGAGTTTAGTTATTTTTAGAAGTGTTTTAAATGATTGCTCGTTCTTCCCCAATCCCTGACATAAGTGTTGTTAATTGCTAATATTCTTTTCTTTTTTCTTTTTTTAACAAACTTCATATCAGGCAAGGCCTTAAGCCTAT